ATGGCCTCAACCCTACAGCCAACCCGTATACTAGGGATGCGCGGTAAGGATGCACTGGCCCCGGGAAACCATGTTGACGTTTTCGATTGGGGCTCGGCAGCGAAAGTTGCCAAAGATAGGCCGAAGGGGCAAGGATGCAAGGGCAACAAAGAAAAATTGCTCATCCTTGCTATTCGGGTTGACGGTAGCGCCCGCTGGCTAGCTCGATACTATCAGGACTCGGAAAACTCGATGATACATCCAGCGGAAACAAAGGCGTCCCAAAACGACAACCCTCCAACCCTCGAAGCTCGGGCGCAGCCGAGGCTGCGCATCCTCGCCAGCCGTGGTCCGCCGCCCCATTGCCTTCCCGTCGTTCGTGGAATCGGCGATGGCGCGGGTGGTCTCTCAATGTCGCTCGAGCTCGCCACACGTGCGCAGTACGGGCAATTGCAGCCCTGTGCTGCCGCTGACGGAATCGATCGCCGTCAGAATGTCCTTTTTGTAGTCTACTGGAATGGTCGCCGCGTGTTCCTCTCAGGGCTTCCAGTCGACATACACGTTGGCATGGACTCTGCCACGCTTGGCCAAGCCCATATGCTGTTGTGTCGGTGCGGCCTGGCACGCCATCCACTTCGTGGGGCATAATTTCACGCGGTCCGCGGAAAATATACGCGAGGCCCACCTCTCACTGCAACGATCGGCCACCCCGCCCTGGGGGACAAGTGCCAACAGCTGCGCTCACGCCGTCGGCCGAAACGCGATCACAGGAGGAGACGCAGCAGGAGAAGGGAAGGGGGGAGGAGAAAGGGGAGGAGGAGGAGGAGAAGCAGGAGGTGGAGGCTGACGCTACGATCTTCATCGGCGAGGATTTGGCCATCATAAGGAGGTGTAGGATGAGGAAGAAGACGACGACACGACGAGGAGGACGTGCAGAAGCAGAAGGGACATGGAGGAGGAACTAGAATTGCGGGTGGCAGTGCTGAAAGGTAAGAGGCATGGTGGCAATTATATCATGAGAAAAACAAAAGAGGGCCACCCGCAATGAAATGCCAGAAAATTCGCCGCGCGGCCTCTGCAGTTGACGCCCAGCACACCTCACCCATGGCTCAGGAGCCTCAACCCGAACGGAGTCTTATGAACTCTGGGAACCCTGCCTGCTCACTCGTGGTCAGTTCGTACGCGAGATGAACTGAGATGACCCTGACCAGGGTCGTGGATCGTGACGACTCCCCACCGCCGGGGGGGCCCAAGACAGGCTCTTAGCCCAGTGCGATCCGCCGACGCTGCCTCGCAGCCCGGAGCGTTTGCTCGTGGAGCTGGGGGCAGATCGTGCCCTGAACGCGCTCGAGTCGCAGCGCCGATCGTGCCTTCCAACGCACTGCTGGTGTGGCCGCCCGCTTTCGGCAGCCTCTTGTGAGCAGGTGTCGGCGGGCGTAGCTGACCATTGCGTCGCTTGCGTGGCCGTGTACCTGGAGAATCCACGAGCGCGCCTTGCGTCGTGCGCGCGCGGATGCAGCTCGACCAGCTGATTGCAGCAGTGTGCCTCTAGCTGCTAACGCTGACCTGTCACAGCTGCTGACTGGTCCGCGCGTAGGTCTGGTGTCTGTTGAGCGGCAGCAGGGCGGCGCGCGCTGTCTGGAAGCGGCCGGCAGCAGCGCGGCGTCGCTGGCGCCTACCTCGACTGTTCGCCGCTGCCCCGCTGTACAGCGCCGCCAGCGCTGCAGCGGGCCGCCGCGATGTATGCCGGTCGGTCTGTAGGGAAGCGCAGCCGACGATGCGGCGCTGACATCTGCGGCGGCGCGCTGTCGCGCTGGCACCTCGTAGCGCGGGCGGCGCAGAAGGTGCCGGAGCTGGGCGCGCGCGCGCCTGCCTGGGCTTCGCGACCAAGACGTTCGCGTCGTTGTCGGCGTGGCGCCAGTCTCCTGCCCTTGCAATTGACGGGGGGGCTGGCCGGCCACAGATGGCTTGCAGCGGCTTTTCGACGGTGCTCGTGTCGAACGAAATCTGCGATGACCGCGCGGTCGGGCCACCCCCGCGGTGCTCGCCGAATCTCGGGTCGCCAAGTGCAGTGCAGCGGGCACATAGGGCTCAAACGTGCCCGAGCACACCGGCACGCGGTGGTGGCGGCCAAGACGCACGTGCACTTACGCTGCACATGGCGCTCAGGGGACACGGAGATTGCTGTGCCAAGATGAGGCGCAAACACTTCCTGTCGACCGCTGCAGGCGCGACGGGGGTTCGCGCTGCTGTGGGCCGCGCGAGGGGGGCAGGTTCGGCCGGCTGTCTTTGCCCAAGACATGGGGTCGCGCTCAGCCGTGGCGACCGCGTGTTTCTGCATGTCGCTGTTCGCTGTCAGGCTCAAGGCGGTGGGCCTGGTGGCTGATGTCACATCCTCAGCAGTGCCTCGGGGAAGGCAATGCCGCGCGCCTAGACGCGGTCGCGTGCAACTGTCTGTGCGAAGGTTCCTACGCTAGGTAGCATAGACAGAGCGCAGACGCACGTTTGGCAGCGCGGCGCCGCCCCCCAGTCGCCGCTCCTGGTAGGCGGCTGCAGCGCCAGACCGCCGTCGGCGAGTGCATGCCCGATCCAGGGGCTGACGCGGGGGCGGCGAGTGAGGGGCGAATGTCGCGTGAGCTGCAGCCCTCCCAAGGCCTGGCACTGCCCTGGATTGGAGCTGCGCTGGCAAGCTGGACTCAGCCGTCCCCTCATTTGCGAAAGGGCGGTCGTCGGACTTCATCGCCCGCGATCGCGTCCGCGGCCTCCTTGGGGTCGGTTGCCGTCCGCGCGATGTGCTTAACAGCGTGGATCACGACGGGCTTCATGGAGTGGATCATGCCCGCTTTCGGCAGCATCTTTTCAGATGTCTACCAGACGTCGCGCTGCATTGAGGAGTGCACGTTGCTACGTTGTTGAGCATATTGCTAAGGGCGCTGATGTGCGCCATGGGACTGGACAACTGGGCGCGAGTGTCGGTGATGGTTGCCTCCGCAAGGCTGGGGGGCGGCGGGCGGCCGGACCTTGCCCTCCAGCCCGTTCGCTGAGACTTTTCTTTGGGTAGAGGGCAAAGGGTGAAATCTGAAATGCCGTTTCGATTGGTTCTCGAGGCTTGAATCTGCAAAAAATCACAAGACGGATTGACCTTCGAAGTGCAAAAGCCCACGTGGAGTTCACCCTGAGCCCTCCACCCTGAGAAAATGCGCGGGTTCATCAATCCATCGCATTCGCTGAGGCAAAACACTGGGTGGCACGTTGATCTGGCGATGCCAGCGGAGAGGCCCCGCCGCGTAGTTCGCCGCCCGCGGGCTCCTCGGAGGCGCCGACCGCGCGCGGGCACTCGACGGCCTCGGTGACCTGGTCGTCGGCCGCCGGCGGCTGGGGACAGAAGACCTCGGCGCGTTGCCCGACCCGTCGGGGTCCAGGTTCGCGAGCTCCTCCTCCGCGTGGTGGCGCTCCGCGCGCTGCCTCGCGTCGCAGCCCTGCGCGCGGCCCTCGACGATCCCCCGACTGCTCCGCGAGGGTGCATGCCCTCGCCGCGAAAGGATTCGCCCCGATGCGGCTCTAGAGGTCGCGGTCCCGCATCGCGTCGGGCCCGCGCGCGGCGGGCGCTGGCCACTTGCCGCTGGCGCTAGTCACGGCGTTCTCGATGATCCGGCGCCGCTGCCCTTCCGCGCCGCTGCCGCGAGCGCCCGGCCCGACGACGGAGAAGTGCGAGGATGAGGCGCGGCGCAGAGCGTGAGCGCCGCCCGTGTCCGCCGCGGCGCGCTGGTTCAGCGCGCGCGCAGTCGGGAGGAGGTCCGGCGACTCGTTCGCGACCGCCATCTCCAGAGCCGCTGCCGCCGCTGCGACGCCGCCCAGCGACTGCCCGCGACTGGCGCGGCGCGCCTCGAGGAGCTCCTCCGCGAACGCGGGGCCCTGTCCAGCAAGCCGTTGATCCCGTGCGCTTCTCACGCGTTCTGCTGCGCGCCGTGGAGCTCGTAGCATTTGAGGGGCCGGCCGCGCTTTCTGGCAGAGTAGCTGCGTAGCTGCGTGGGATGCGGCGCCCTGCCTGCGGCCCGAGCCGCGCCGCCGAATCCTTGGGCGGCCCCCGGCCCGGTCTGCCGCGCGCTGGCCTCGGCGCGCCCGAGACGGCCGGCGGCGGCTGCGCCGTCGCCGACGACCTCGTCGAGGGCGCCGGAGAGGCTGGACTCGACATCCTCGGTGGGTAGACACTATGCGGTCGGACCGTCCTGCGTCGCGGACGGCTGCGCGGCCTCGCGCCCTGCCCGGCGCGGCGGCGCGCGGGGCAGCGCGCGGCGCGAGGGCCGCGGCGAGGGCGGTGGCCTCGGCGCTGGCCCGTCGGAATCCACGGCGAGGCGACGCGGCAGGTCGCGCATCTGTCGATGCATGAAGCCCCATTGCTCGGGCTCAGGCCGGGGCGAATCCAGCGCCCTGAAACTTCCTCGGCGAGGTGGCGACGGTATGAAAATAGGAATCCACCTAGAGGTCAGGCAGCCCCCTGGCGCCCGTAGAGCCCCCATTGGTCAGGAGCGCGCTGTTGTTGGCGACCTGCTCTCGGATGTTGTGTTCTGCGCGCGCGGGCGCATGCCTGGTCGCCTGGGCGCGCAGGGCCATGCCGTGGCAGCCCTGGGCCAAAACGGAGTGGTGGTTGCGCGATGAGTCGCGCCGTGCGCGTGAGCCTTGCTAGCCTGGTCTCGCGGTTCGATCGTGGTGGCGTAGCTGCTGGCTCGTGCGAGCGGTTCAGAGGTCGAGCCTACGCTCGCCAGGTGTAGATCGGCATTCGAGACTGGCTGACTACAACGAGAAAGATGCGTCACATAGAGACTGGCATGCAATGTCGGACTGCGCGATGACGAGGACGACGGCATGCAATGTACACAGTGTAGGAATAGCACCTCGCACCCCAATGCAAGACGCAACGAACATGCCACGAAATTCGCTGCTCTCTTGGCACATACCACTGGCATGCCAATCCAAATCCATATTACTTCCGAATCGTAATGTGACCCGCCTCCCCAGCCCAGGCGGTGCATGACCGTGGTTGCGTTGGCTGCCGCGCGCTGGGCTGAGTGCGCGCGCGGAGACCGGCGCGCAGACGGCGCGCAGCCTCGCTCTTCCTTCCCGCGGTTTCCTTCGCGAGCCCCCCGCCCTCTTGACTGTCCTCCGGATCCTCTGCCTGGCGTCGTCCTCCTCGCTCTCGAATGCGTCGCGTCTCCTGCGGCCTCAGACTCCCTGCGTCGGCCAGTGCCCTGTGATCTGCGGCGCGGGGGAAGCGGGGGCTCAGCGCGCAGCGAACCCTTGGGCGGGCCTTCTCGGGCCGGGCGAAAGGGGGGGATAGCAAGGGGGGGGGGGTCAGCTCACGCAGCTGACTTCCCCGGCGCCCCCCAGCGCCGGGCGGGGCCGAAACCAGCTGCATGCAGCAGATTTCGTAACCCCTCTTTCCCCAATCCCCCCCTTTCGCCCAGCCCGACCTTCGCGTCGCGCGGCCGCGGGCGCCGAAGCGTCGGCGTGCGCGCGCATCTTGATCAGTCAGAGCCGCGCGCAGACGCGCGCGCCACCCCTGTCGCGGGGCGTCGCGGCTCGGCGCGCGGCGCCCCTCAGCGCGCCTGCCCGACGGCAGCTGGGAGGTCGCGCCTCCAGAGCCGCGGACAGGGATGGACAAGAAGGCCTGGTAGAACGCGACGCGCAGCGCGTGGGCGAAGACGACAAAGAGGAAACGCGAAACCGAAGTAAAACACGCAGAACAATGCGGAGGTGGAGGCGTAGATCGAAGACGACGTGGCCGGGGTTATCACATCAGCCCAGACAGAGGATGGGCGTGCAAAATGCCCCCCCCCCCCCCATGCGATGCTCAATGAAACGGAATGCGTGCGCCGTGAAACAATTCGGCGGAAATCATCATCGCGCCCCACGATTGCAAACTATTGCGTACTATCCGCAGGGCAGACCTGTCATGCTTGGCTCAGCGTGAACTTGGCGACCCAGCAAATGACGGCGCTGCCCATCGGAGAGGAAGCGGCAAGCTCTGCGGAGCTCGACTTATTAGGATCGTCAGGCGCCGACTCAAGTGCTGGCGCAGGCCGCGAGCGGCGCGGACCGACGGGGCGCGCCCGCGGCGAGGGCGCGCCGAGCCGCTGCGTCGGCCGGCGAGACCTCAACGGAGGCGCCCCTCCGCCGGACGGGAGGCTATGTGTCGGGCAAGTCGAGCGCCGGGCCCGCGATGGTTTGCGCGCCGAAGATAAATCACACGGAGCGGTGAATGCACGGCCGAGGCGCGGCGCGCAGCGAGGCGGCGCTGCCCGCGTCCGCTGGCGCGCGCCTCAACTGTTCCTATTGCTCTCTGGGGCGGCGACGTGGTTGACCAGGTGGATTGCGGTTGAGATGCGGAGAAAGGCCTGCATTCCCGCGCGCGGGCTGAAGTCGCACGCTGGCCGGCCCGGCCCGCGCCCCGTGAGCTGCGCCCCGCGCGGCGCAACCGATTGCGGCCCGGGCGCGGCTGGGGGGGGCCAACGTCGGCGCCGGCAGGCGCTCTGAGAGGCGGTTGGAGACGAGCACGGCCAGACGCAGGTGCGCCTGGCACGCCAGCTCGCGCGCGCGCAGGCGCGCGGCCGGGCGCGACGGCGCCCTGGCGTGCGTAGGTCAGTGGGTTTTTTATTCGAGCGTCACGCGCCTCTGCCTGTGCGCGCTCGGGCGCGCAGCTGAACGTCATGGCGCCCGGCGTGCGCCGCGAGGCGCGTTGGCGCGCGCGGGCGCAGCGCGGCGCGCGCGCCTGCGCAGCAGGGCGCAAACAAAGCCCCATCGCGCATGTCGCGGCGCATGAGAGAGCCAAGGCGTGGCGCGCCGTGCTTGCGCAGCGGTGGCGCGCGCCGCGAGGCCTGCGCCGCCGCGCCCCGGCAATGCGCGGGCGCGCCCCCCCGCCGGCGAGCCCGGAATGGTAGGGCAATTGCCGCTGAAGGAACAGCCGCGCGCGCCTCTCTGTCCGAGGGCGCAAAACAGAGGGCGCGCAGATTGACGCGCGGCCGCGTGCCTCGAGCGACTGGCGCAGCGCAAGGCGTGAACGTGCTCTTGCGACCGATGGCACAACCAACGTGTCAGCGCGCCTGCAGTTGCGCGCTCTGTGCGTCGTGCGTCCGAGCGCTAGAGCGTCGACGCCAGGCTTCGTCGTCGAGTGAATGGGTCAGCGCTGCTCCGATGGCCCGTCAACCGCGCTCAAACTGGCTGCCCAGCTGAGCGCGCGAGCGGGCGGCGCGCCGGCGCGAAGGCTGACGCGTTGTCGCGGCCGAGGCCGCGCGCGACTGAGCGCGTCGACAGGGCCACTCCCCTATTCCTTGGCGGGGTTGGCGTGGCGAGGCCTCTAGGCAACGCGCGGCGCGAAAGCAATCGTTGCCAGCGATATGCCTGGGCGCCTCATCCTGGAAGTCCCAGTGTAGGCGGTGGCGATGTCCCAGCCGGAGTCCGCGTCGTGGAAAGGAAAGCCTGAAGAGCGCCTAGTACGGCGGCTCGAAATTGTCGAACTGGTCGAACAGGCGGAGAAAACGAACGAACCTATTCAGCAATAATCGTGGCGTAGCCGACGTGCTGGCTGCATCTGGGCGCGGCGTCTCCAGCCCTCGCCAGATGCGCGTCTGGTCAGCGGCGGCCCACACGACAGACAATAACGTACATCGGCGACATCTGGTCGGTGATGAATGGCTTGCTGCCCCCGAGCACCCAGATGGGAATCCTCCTCGATAAGAATCCACCGTGCTGTGAACTGCGGAGACGCCTCGTTGTGAATCGGGCCTGCGCAGAGACGAATGCCATGCTGAAGCTGGTGGTAGCCGTAGTAGCGCTGCTGCCCTTGGATGATGCCAAAGGTTGCAATCAGTGCATTAACGTTCAGTGCCCCACTCGAGTGGTGCGACAAGCGCACAAGGACAGCCAGCGCAGCCGCGCGCGCCACGAAGGGAGGAGCCTCGCACTCATGCCCGACACGAAGCTGCGGCCAATGCTTGCGATGTGCGATGGGTCGGGGAACGTTGTGGCGCCCCCGTGGGCGAGTCGCCCCACATCGCGGTAACGCCTGCGGCTGCTGTTGTCCTGTACAGCTGGACTCTCGCGCGTCTCATGCGGCGTGCGGCCTTTGTCATCATCGTCGCCTGAGCGTCCAAGGAGAACCACCAGAAATCTTGCAAAACAACCACAAGCGAAAGCTGCCCGTGGGACGGAGGGTGCTAGCCTTGCAGGAATCGGGGGGGGGAGATGCACTACGCGCACGCGCAACCCCGTGTATCGCGAGCTGGGATTGCTTCCGGTTCCGCCATTAACTAGAATTGAGGGTGGCACTGGTGAGTGGTGAAATACATGGCGGCAAGTGTAACATGAGAGATAGCAGAGCGGCGGTCCCTTTCCTCTCGCTACAATATCAAGTACGCTGGCCAGCTGTGAGCAACACGGCAGCGGACCCCTCTGGTTCGAGTGAGGAGCGGGACGGATGAGGAGAATTCGCCGGCCCAACGGGCCAGGGCGTGCTAAGATCTCCGGTAACTGATTAACAGTATTAACAGTATTTCTAGTTCGCGCGCGCGGGGCGGCCCCTGGGGGTCCCCCGGCGAAAAGTACCCCGACCAACGCCCGGTCGCCGCCCGACCGCCGCCCGACCGCCGCCCGACCAAGTCTACTCAGAGATGGTTTTCCTTCTGGGTGCGGCCTCTCAGGCTCCCCAGAGCGCGCTCAGAGTGCCCCAAGAGGCCCCCAAGACTGCCCAAGAGGCCCCCGAGACGCCCAAAGAGCGCTCGAAGACGCCGAAGATGACCCCAAGACGGCCCAAAAGGCCCCCAAGACAGCCCAAGAGGCCTCCAAGACGCCCCAAGAGCCTTCCAAGAGGCCTCCGAAGAGAGCCCCAAGAGGCCAAAATCGTTGATTTTCATTGGTTTTTTCTATGTTTTTTGTGTTTTGGCTTTTTCGGCTTCCGGACGCTCCAAGACGGCCCAAGAGGCCCCCAAGACCGCTCCAAGACGGCCCACGAAGCTCCCAAGACGGCGCCGAAACGACCCAAGAGAGCCCTCAAGACGGCCCAAGTGCCGCCCAAGACGGACCAAGAGGCCCCAAGACGGGCCCAAGAGGGACTCAGGAGGGATACCGAGAACTCAAAAATGGAGCCCTCCGTCCCAGAAGGCGCCCAGGAGGTCCCAAAGAGGCCCCAAGAGGCCTCCAAGAGGCCCCAAGATGTCGCCAAGAGGCCCCAGGAGACTCCCAGGAGGCCCAAAAGAAGCCCCAGAAGGCTTCAAACATGTCTCCCAGGCGCCCCCGAACGGCCTCTCAACAGACCCCAAGAGGCCCCCCAAAGAAGCATCTTGACGACGACCCTATTTCGCCCCATCGAGAGACGACCCCCAGGGAACTGCTTCACCATCAAAACTCCCCACGCAACGCGTCCGGACGCCCCCAAGAAACATGGGCAACGAACACACAGAAAAAACCAGCGATTCAATAATGTTGCCTGGATGTTGCCTGCCTGATCCGCTCCGAAATGAGCACGAGTGCGGAGCCGACGAAAAACGATATCCCCCTTGCCAGGAGGAGGAGACCTCGGAACCAATCTCTGCCTGGGCGCCCGGCTTGAGATGCGAAACGAACATTGACAAACGAGGAGGAGGATGAGGAGCAGGAGGGGGAGGAGAAGATGGAGGAAGAAGACGACGAAGACGAAAACGAGGACGATACGACGAGGAGGACGTGAAAAAGGAGGAGGAAAAATGGAGGAGGAGGGAATGGAAGAAACGGAAAGGAGGATGGGATGGAAACGGAGGAACGAGAAGTGGAGAACAAGATGGATGAGAAGGAGCAAGATGGAGGAGGGGGAGGAGGAGGAGGACGACGACGACCACGACGAAGAACGACGTCTGCACCCGGGCGGCCAGCCTTCGCCGGCGGGGCGCCGCAGCTCCGCGGGGGGGACGGCCCGCCGCACAGGGCGCGGGCTCGCAGCTCCAGGTAGGCGCGGCCCACGAAGGCGTCCGCCAGGGTGCAGGAGCCTGTCTTAGGGAGGCCGCTGCTGGGAGGCTCGGGCCGGGCGAAAGGGGGGGATAGCAAAGGGGGGGCTTGAGAGTCAGCTCACGCAGCTGATTTTTTCCCGGCGCCTCCCGGCGCCGGGGGCGGCCATGCATCGAGGACTGGGCCCCTCGGTGGGGCCGAAATCAGCTGCATGCAGTAGATGTCGCAACCCCCCCCCTTTCCCAGACCCCCCCTTTCGCCCGACCCGAGAGGCCTTCGTCGGGAGGATTATGGACAGTCGAAGCGCTGTGAGACTGGCCATCGCTCGGACGTCCACTCCATGTGATCAAGAATGCTCCTCGATGGTCTTCGCCGAAGGAAAAATGCACACGTCCGAGCGATGCCAAGCCCCTTTCCCACACCCCCCCTTTCGCCCGAACCGAGAGGCCTTCGTCGGGAGGATCATGGACAGTCGAAGCGCGCTGTGAGAAGGAGCCCTGAACAGGGAACGAGGCCCCCTTTTCAAATTTCCACAGGTGCAGCGCCGAGTTACCACAGAAGACCTGGGGAGCTTACCAGCCTGGAACATGTCCCTATCCCTATGCTGGGCACCTCCTCATCACGATGCCAATCTTAGGGATCCCCTTAACCGCATGCCGATGAGAATAAAGTGACCCCCCCCCCTTAAGTCGTTAGAGTTTTTTTATCGTCGACCAATAAGAGTTTGGTCGGGGGCGCGGGGGCGCGGAGGCCGAACTTCATTATCACGGGAAAAGTTCGCCATCGAAGTTACTTCCTTCTTATGTTGAGATAACAACATCAAGCGAAGCGAACACGTTGTTTCAGGATGTCTCAAGCGAAACCAATGTCCTTCTGTCTCTTTGTAGTTCTTTCTGTCTCTCTTTCTTTCTTTCTCTGTCTCTCTTTCTCTCTCTCTCTCTGTCTCTCTATCTCTTTCTCCTTGCTGGCCTCTCTGTCTCTCTCTCTCTCTCTGTCTCTCTATCTCTTTCTCCTACTCCTCCCCCTGGCGCCCTGAACTTGTTTATCGCTGGGGTTGATTATCCAGGGAAAACGAGGCACGTGAGCTACCCTACACGAGCACTTAAAAATTTTAATTTTCATAAAGCGCTTGTAAATAAAATTTAATACATTTGAGTATTCAGACTTGTTGTTTTATCTTCCTTTCCTCTTCTCTTTATCCTTTTCATTTATTTTTCTACTTTTCTTTATATATATATATATATATATATTATCTCTTTAAGTCCTTCCTTTCTTTTTCTTTATGATGTATCTCTCTTTCTCTCTCTCTCTCTCTTTCTCTCTCTCTCTCTCTCTCTCTCTCTCCATGCCCCCCCTCTGAACTTTTTTATCCCTGGGGTTGATTATCCATGGAAAATGAAGGAAAATGAAGCACATGAGCTAACCTACACGAGCACTTAAATTTTTTAATTTTCATAAAGCGCTTGTAAATAAAATCTAATACATTTGAACTTGAGATTTTTCCTTCTCTTTCTCCGCCTCCTCTGGTTTCTTTTCTTGTTGTTTTTTTTGATCATTTGTCTGTTTCATTTCTTATTGTTTCTTTTTATTTTTGTTTTTGTATATCGCTTTCTCCATTCCTCCGCCCGCCTGAACTTTATTATCGCCGCGGTTGATTATCCAGGGACACCGAGGCGGATGAGCTATTCCGAGGATGTCTCAAGCGAAACAAGCATATACTCGAGGATGTCTCGAGCGAAACAAGCATATACTGAAGGATGTCTCAAGCGAAACGATACGTTTCTTAAGCGAAATAAGCAATAGTTTGACGGTATCTCAAGCGAAATAAGCAATAGTTTGTGGATGTCTCAAGCGAAACAAGGGATTTGTCGAGGATGTCTCCAGCGAGATAAGCCATTGTTGAGGATATTTCTATGAAGACTAAACGCCAAGGATGTCTCAAAACGTGCTCGGCTTGGTCTCCTCTTGATCATCTCTTACTTCGAGATTATGCTGAGGTCTGGTGGGCTACTTTGATTATCTCCCCCTGAACCCCGAACTTTATCATCCCCTAGTGTTTATTATCGAAGGTATTCGGTTATTTTTTGAGGGCGAATCCCTAAGATTGTCATCGCCTTTTGGCATGTCAATCTTAGGGATAGGGATATGTTCGAGGCTGGGAAGGAGCACCTGAGACAAACTGTGGAACAATTGTATGAGGAACACTGAGCCTCTCCCCGACGAACAGGGTCCCTTCTTCAGCCGCCCGACTGCAAAGGAGGATTCGGCCCCACTCCACTGGGGGGCTGCTACGCCGGATTCGGCCGCGGATGAAGCTGCGCCGCCAGAGTATCCATGTCCACCGCAGCTGGATCGTGGTCCGATGACTCGGGGAGCGGTGGATATGGATATCTGCCCACCCACGCGGGCGGGCAAATATCCATACCCACCGCTCCCCAAGATCTCCGAGACACGACTCCGAAGCGGTGGATGCGGACATACTCTGGCGGTGGATAAGCGGCACGGATTACCCATCGGTCGGAAAACATATGTAGAAACATCGAATAGGAAGCCGTTGAAAGTAGATTGGGTGTCCGCCCACCCCCTAAGGAGAAAGAAAAAACGAAAACACTCGATCATTGAAATATAAAGGCGCTCAAAGTAGCATGGACTCTGGGACTCCCGAAACACCTCCTTCAACGACCGGTGGGCAAGCGGGCTTAAGCTCAGGTCGGGCGTGCTCCCCGACTATGTTTTGCCTCTTTTGGAAGATTTCCTCCTGTGGAGGGCCAGGAGTTCGGGCCAGGGCAAAGCCAGGACGGGCCATCCCAAGAGTGGCATCGGAGCCTGCCGATGGGGGTGGCCCGAGGCCGCGGAGGCGGCGAGGGGCTCCCCGGCCGCCCGTGAGGGGGGGGGGGGGAGACTTGAGAAGGGGGGGAGGGAGGGGGAAGGGAGGGGAGGGGGGGGGAGGGGGAGGGGGGGGGGGAAACTTTGAGAAGGGGGGGGAGGAGGAGGAGGAGTAGGAGGAGGAGGAGGAGGAGATGAGGAGGAGGAGGAGGAGGAGGAGGAGGAGGAGGAGGAGGGAGGAGGAGGAGAGGAGGAGGAGGGGGAGGGGAGGGGGGGTGGGGGGGGGCAAGCTAGGTGCGCGCGCGCGCGTCATATCTGACGTCCTACCCCTCCCTCCCATCCCGTACCATGGCGCTGATTTTCTCTATCCACGGACTAGTGGGTGGTGGTGCGCGTGCGTGCGTGCGTGCGTGCGTGCGTGCGTGCGTGGGTGCGTGGGTGCGTGGTGGTCGTGGTGGTGGTGGTGGTGGTGGTGGTGGTGCTGGTGGTGGTGCTGGTGGTGGTGGTGGTGGTGCTGTTGCTGCTGGTGGTGGTGGTGGTGGTGGTGGTGGTGCTGGTGGTGGTGCTGCTGGTGGTGGTGTGTGGGTGTGTGGGTGTGTGTGTGTGCGTGTGTGCGCGTGTGCTGTGGCATGACACGGGAAATGACGCCAGCGCTGCAGTGGGAGCACGAGTCGAAACGGGCGGAAGCGCGGAAATGAGGCCAGCGCTGCAGCGGGAGCACGATTCGGAACGAGCGGAAGCACGGAAATGAGGCCAGCGCTGCAGCAGGAGCACGATTCGGAACGAGCGGGGCCCGAAAATGAGGCCGGCGCCTCGGCGAGAGCAGCATTTTGAAAAAAAACACAAGCGAAACCCCGTTTCCCGGGGATTCTTTGTGTAAAGAAACACTACGCGGGGGGGGGTCGGATATCTTCGGGACACCATCAGGGGAAGTGGGAAAGTATTTTCATATTGTGTAATTGTGGAGGGAGGGGAGGGGGAGGAGGGGGTGTACAGGGGCAAGGGAGGGGAGGGCGATTACAGGACGATTACTAACCAGACAGCAAATCCCGCCGTTATGCCGCTGGCGCATCTGGGGTTATCTTAACCCTTGCGGCGCACTTCACGCTTTGGGTGCCTGGGGGCATTGGGGGTGCCATCGGGCCACACGGCCTTACCCTTCGTTGAGGGGACCTCCCAACGCCGAATTTTATTCAAAGCCTCTTGGCCTGCAGAAGTGGGGTGCCCTTTACACATGCCGACGATGCCCGCCCCCAGTCTACCACCCGTGGGGGTCTTCGAGCCAAGGCACCCACACCGTCCTGGACATTTGCCATTGCGAAGCCAGTCCAAAATTGAAAACTTCCCAGGGCCACTCTGGCAGTGGCAACACACCCAGGAGGGGCCGACCTTGGAGACCAGGTGCCCCGAAGACGCTTCAAGAGCCTTCCTTGCGCGCCAGGCAGCGGGCGGCACACGGCAATCCTTACGCGGGCGGCTCTTACGCTCGTAGTCGGCACAAGCGGGCGCCGCGTTGACTATAGCCAGCCTCCTCTGGACCAACCACACTTTAAATTCAGCACGGGCTAGATCTCTGACCTCTGGGTCGATTTCAGCTGAAACCTGCTCAACTCCCTAGTTGGGCGAATTTGTCGGCAAGGTCATTGCCTCGGGAGACACAGGGGGTCTGGACCAGGGAGGCTAGCGAAACTCTATCTAGGTGCGAATTACACTTACTGAGCATCACTCGTCGACCTTGAGCTTCGGAGAAGACCCTCTTCCACCAGCCTCGGAGTTCTCCCGAGGTGTCCGAGGAACCGTGCCATCCGTCGTAAACGATCTGGCTGTCCGCGTAGAGCCAAATTGGCCCTTTGGTCATTTTTAAGGCCCACCAGAGGGCCGCCAACTCCGCACACGGGACCGTCTGGGCTCCGTCTAAGCCCCCGCAAGCTCCTGGCCGAGGGGTGTCGGGGTCGTCATTTTCCACACAGGCAGCGGACTGGGCAAAGTAGACGCCCCAGCCCGCGCGCGCAAGGCGCGCGTCGCTGCTCGAAGCCGAGCCGTCCAGGAAGGCCAGCTTGCACTCGATGCCGTCCTCGAAGTTCACCGTGCCCTCGGACGTGACGGTCGGCCCGTCCCAATCGATGTAGTACGGCAGGCAAGGCGTGCCCCACGAAGGCGGAGGCGGTACGGAGTTCCACGTGGATGGTAGTAGCCCTCTTAGCCACAGCTCCAG